AATGTCACAAGGCCAAGGAACAAAATAGAAACAAAAATCTAGAACTCGTCAGAAGGCTAAGGAGCTATCCCAATCCCATAAGAGCTGAGAACGATCATTCGCTTTGATCAAAAAAATCAAAACAGGAAATACTTTTCGGACCGGAGGAAGTAGTACTTTTGAATTTAGCATCAATTAAAAAACACGAAAAAATAGAAATAAAAAGAAAGAGCCCATCAGAAGGCCAAGAAGCCATCCCAACCCCGTAAGAGTTGAGAACGATCATTCGCTACTCGATTTACAAGTACGGCCAAGCTGCGCAAACTGTCTCACTATGATTACCTAGCGTTGTTCCCTTGGCGTAATATTTTTGGGACATATACCTAAATAGGACCAAAACATAGACAATATACCTAAATAAAACTATAAACTTAAACTCCCCCATCTAGGACTAATTTTTTACACGGCAACCCAAAATGTCCCTGCTTTAATCGGAAATCCAGAATTAGCATTTTGAGGATGGGTGAGGAAGTAAAGGCCAGCAAATCAGCAACATTAAATTGAAGTTGTTTGGATTGGCGTCCCCAGGCTACAGTCATCCGCCTTTGGCAGAAGAAAGAAAAAGAAAAAAGTCATTTCCTTTGAGATGAAAAAGAAAGAGGCGAAATTAAGATGAGGACCTCCATGAAAGGTTCCTCCACCCACCCACACCAAAAAATAAAAAATATATTTAAATAGGAGTTCAAAAAAAGTTACATCTTAGTACAAGCAATTTTAACACAACTAAATCATACTAAAAAAAGTCATGTAATGCAACATAAAGTGATATCAAATAGTGTATGGATCTTCCACTCATGGAATAGGATTTCTATGTGTTTGGGTGGACTATACCAGCATATGTACATATATACTAACGTCTCAATTTTGTAGAAAGGAGAAATAAAATCATAACAAGATAAGCCGGGATGTCTCCTAACAGCAGCCACCGCATGAACGCAAATAAATTGATCCAATTAGAATTCACAACATGTCCATGTTTTGTCCTTTAAACTCATATGGACATGTTGACTTTAAATGCATAACAAAAAAATAAAAATATGCAATGGTTAATATGCAATTAAAAAAATTCATGATTGTCCAACAAAGTATGTAATATGGATATTATCAGTGTCATAATTTGTAATGTGGTGATGAATATTACGAACCATTGTAATGT